ACAATACTTATACCCCCACGCTCCAAAGTTGTACGAAAAGCAAAATGTATAGGGAAATGTAGAGTGAATGTCTGAATGATTACCTTATATCGTAAATTATAATGTTGAAACTGTGAGTATGTACAAAAGGTCACCTAGATTTTGACGACAGCGTGGTGAAATGTGGACCGTGCAAGAGGTAATGTTTGTGAGCACGTGTGGAAGTATCCGGAAATGAAAAGTATGCAAAATTCAGTCAATATCTAGTTTTGTTATCTTTTACCGCAGAAAGTCGACTCGCGAATTCATACCAGAGGTGATTTTTGTGAACACTTGTGTTGAAATATCGTGACAATCGCTTAAAAATGAAGATTGGTGGTATTTTTACGTCTCGTACGGCGCGTACATACATACAGGCAGATCCCTATAAACTCTCGACGACTTCTTAACCAGGGTTAAGACAGTAATACATGTTTTTGTCAGGGATTTATAGTAACAAAGTATTCGTCACTGATTTTCCTTAAGTCCACGAATTACTTTAATGTTAAAATTAATCACAATGTGCATGTCTATATATATATAAGATATAAGGCACATTGTAATTAAACTTAACAGTAAAAGTAGTTTATGTAATAAAAAAAAAGCAAATGCATATAATTATATATCTCTCTCTCTCTCTCTCTCTCTCTCTCTCTCTCTCTCTCTCTCTCTCTCTCTCTCTCTCTCTCTCTCTCTCTCTCCTACTCTCTCTCAATATATATATAAGTAAATATTATGAATCTATGGCCAATATTTAGTACCTGATCGTTACAAATGAATGTTGGTCGAAATATTACCTAAACAAATATATGATCACTGAGATTATAACGACAGTAAGAACAAGTAAAATAATCGAATCTCGAGGTGATTTGCCTCTTTATCAAGACAAAATATAACCTATGTTACATCACATACATAGAACATAAAACAAAGACAATTATAAATGATAAAAAAGCATTATTAGTTCATACTTGGATTCAGCATAATTTTGTGTAAGGATGTCACTGTCAGATCTAGTTACATTGTTTTAACCAGTTACGGTGGATATTATTTAGTTTTTTCTGGTAATCTAACGTTTTAATTGTTGGTTTTCAGACAATAAAAGCACACGTGCTGTTCACATTAAGGTAATGCTATAAAATGTCATTTTTTTCTTTATGATAAAAAAAGCACAATGTCGCTGCTGGTTTCTGTAATAAACCGATGTGGTATTTTAAAACAAATGCAGTTAATTTGATACTTTTATTATATATTTCCTAATTTTTTTTATGTTTGCATAATTCATTTTGTTATGAACATAATTTCGAACTAGTGTCAAAGCTTTGATAAAAAATAACCCAGTTCAGTGATCCAATTACTCGCCAAGCGAACTTCTTACTTGTGTCATTTATATATACACGAAGGAATTCTGAGTAAATTTATTTATTTATTGACGGTATGAGGCTGTAAAAAATGTTTCCAAAAACGGTACCTTCTGGTGTTGTTGAATTCCGTCTATTCGTAATGCAGATTGATCTGCTCTTATGAGAAAGTATTGATTGTTACGTCATTTGTTTTTGAGAGTGACGTCATGAGAAAACGACGTCATTTTCTCACTCAAATTAACGGTGTAACAATTAAGTTAATTTGAAACTCAAATCATTTATAAGCTTGTATGATAATATGATTTTATTTCAAGATAAGTGCATCACAAAAGTCTTATTTCAGTATGGAATTTTAAATTTATTGGTGTAGTCTTGATGAAAGTCTCCTCAATAAAAAATATATAAAAAAGTAATAATGATAGTGAAAACATCTAGCATGCCTAAAAAATTGTTGGTTGTTTGACGTTCACGTTAGGTGACAGGGTCTCGGCACATGTGTGATTATGTGGAATGCAGGGGATAAGGTTTAGTGTCAGATCCGTGTGAATTTGATAATATTTCTATCAAAGAAATACACATTCAATTAAGGATTACGGTTTAGAAGGTACCATTCAGATTTAATTTAATTTCCGGGGCCAAAATTGTACTTTTTTTCCAAATTCGAGTATTCTGAGTCTTTATTACGACGATAAGATATTTTTTCGGGACTGACAAAATACTTTCTGGGTTTACGAGAAATTCAACAGTGTGCTTTTACTTAAACAACTTCTGACTGGCATATTTCTAGCAGATATCACTGACGTTATAAGATGTATGTTCAACTTAATTCTGATATCAAATTTTTTGTAATATTAATTATTTTATTTGACTTGGTAGGAAATCTATATTAGAGTGTACGGAAAGCTATGAATTTTCAGGGTAAGTTCCAAAATCGTACTGTTTACGCGTTTTAAAGTCAAACCTTCAACAGGTGAACGGAAAAACATGTGAAACACAACAGATGAAATGTCACATTCACTCCCGGGGAACAATAGTGGTACACACTGACACCTGCTTGTGTGTCAAGAAACACCCAGGAGTTGTGCTGTCCTAGCTGTGACACGTGCAATTCCTTATCTCTGCGATAATTTGCTGTGAGGTCAAGTTCAACACGTGTAATAAACTATTTCACTTTTCAGTCTCTTTTGATAATCGTAACATCATCAAACATTGTAAAACAAAAGGTGATAAAATTGCAATCTTAATCAGCATTTTATAAATAAAAGAATGTTCACGTCCTCCCGAGTGTGTTCCGTGTCCTATTTTAAAAACTACTATGTTGTATTGACTGGAGATATTTCCACTGCTCAGTACAACAACAGAATTGTGGTAAAGAAGTTAAAAACTTAAAATGACAACGAGTAAAAATATTATATGATTTTAAAGAACAATCGATTATTTTAAAACATTATTAATATAATTTTGTCAATATATATTAAATAAATTTATATTATGATTTAGATAATGTCAGATTATATATGAAAATGTTACAATATACTTTATTGTTCATTATATATTTTTTATCATCATTATCTGACTCCTGTCTACTTTCACGTTTCTACTGCTTCTCTAATACTAAAGGTGTGTATGCACAGCCGTATTACGGAGGTTACGGAGAAGACACTCCTTAGCTGTGATAACATTTGTGTATTATAAAAAAAATATCTAGAATATATCTCTTTCTACGTTAAACCCTTTAGATACTTGATCCTTCAGACACATTTATTTAAATCCATGCTACATTTGTTCTAATCATTGGGCATGATAGATATTGGTCATAATTTATTTTGATCTAATTTTATATTTGATATCCTATGAATTATCATATTTGTTCAATATATACTATTTATTTATTCATTCCGTAATTTATCATATATTGATCTACTGATGCATATTTGCTTACAATATTATTGATTGATTAAAGTATACATATTTTTATAAACTGATTCACACTATAATAGTTTTGAAACATATTTATCTATTTTCTATTGAACACATTAAACATATTTATTAATCATTTATTAATCTAATGGATAGTTTAAACACATTTGCTTATTTATTTATGTTAAAAACATATTTACTGGATCTATTATTTAACTATTCATTAGTTAAAACATACGTAAAACATTTTTATTTGATAATAAAACATATCTACTGATTCATAATAAAACTGTTTAAACATAATAATTTATCTATCTTTTGAGTAGTTAAAACGTGTTTATTTATTTATCTTTTACATAGTTAATCATATTTACTTCATCGTTTATTGAACTGTTTCGAATTGTTACTTATTTATTTATTTATTGAATAATTAAAACATATTTATCTCTTTATCAGAGTGAATAGTAAAACATATCTACTTATTTATTATTGAACTGTTTAAACCTAATAACTTATCTATCTTTTCAGTAGTTGAACAGTATTTATTTATTTGTTTATTAATTAATTAAAAATATATTACTTTAATAGTTTACTGAGCTGTTTCGAGTTTTTACGTACTTATCTTTTGAACTACTTAAACATATGTATTTATCCGTCGAATAGTTAAAACACATTTATTTATTTATCTAGTTAACTGCTTAAATATATTCATTTATTTGTTTAATAGTAAAACACATTTATTTATTTATTTATCTAGTTAACTGCTTAAATATATTTATTTATCTGTTGAATAGTAAAACACATTTATTTATTTATCTATTTAACTGCTTGAATATATTTATTTATCTGTTGAATAGTAAAACACATTTATTCATTTATCTAGTTAACTGTTTAAACTTATTTATTTATCTGTTGAATAGTTAAAACACATTTATTTATTTATTTATTTATCTAGTTAACTATTTAAATATTTATCCATTGAATAGATAAAGCATTTATATCTATTGAACTGTTTAAACATATCTATTTATCTATTGGATATTTGAAATATTTACTTATCTATCTATTGTACTCTTTATACATATTTCATTCTTTAGTTACTCACCAATTGATGCCTTATATTTTGAGAATATTTCATCTTCATCTTCATGTCTTTGTTTCAATGGCTTCGTCCAGTAATTTATATATTATTAATGCTACCTATTTTATTTATTTACTTACATTCACAACAGTCTGAGATAAATGCTCATCTATCTATCAAAAGCTCATATCAACAACTCATGAATACTTTTTTAAACCCGTGGTACCTATCCGTTTTATCTGTTGAGATTAATTAATGACGATGTTTCCAATAAAAAGACGTTATTATGTTTCATTAATCCGTGTTTTTTTTAAAATTAGTATTAGAATATAAATGCTTTTGTACAACTATATATATTTAAATCACATATGTTCATGAACCGATTTATTTTTATATGCAAAGTTTAGCTTTCAGTATAGCTTGGTTCGTTTATCTACATACCATTAGTTTATGAACAGTCAAATTCTGGTGCGGTGTTGTCGAAAACTATTTATTTGCAGATTTAGATATGCAAATTGATTCAAATTTATTTTCTTATCCCAGTTTTAATGGTATGCATTGATAAATACGACATTCGTTGTTTCTAACTTACCACCACCCCTGAACCGATTACTCACCTGAACACGGGATTCTGTTAGTCCGATCCTCAAAGCTAGTTCTTCCCTCATAAATATATCAGGATAGTGTGTCTTGGCGAAGCTTCGTTCCAGTTCGTTGAGTTGAGCTGGTGTGAAGCGTGTCCGGTGTCGCTTTTGTTTGGAAGGTTTGTCCGAGTCGCTGATACTGTCTGGTGTTCCAACGCTCCCATTGGAAGAGTCTTTAGAAGGATGCATGTCCTTAATCCCTGACATCAGTTCGTCTTTCATACCTATAGAGTGAAAAAATAAGTTCTATTACTAACAGGTATTAATGACTGGTAGTACATACTGCAGTTCTTAATTATGATAGCTTTCCAAATCAACGAAAAAAATACATCTTTAATTTTAATCTACTTTCTCATATTGCAGACATAATTTATTTTCAAGTATACTTCCATATGAAATCCCGTGAAGTATAAAATGATATCAACACACTCTACATAATATCGTTACATAGTTAAAAATATTCTAATTACATTTATATATAAATAGATACTTATCACAATATACCAGTTTACTATTAAATTAAATACCCAAAAGAATGAAAGTTAAGCTTGGTTACAATATCTGACGCACCATAAACTTGATATGAGTTACAATATCCGACACAACATAAGCTAAAATAGAACTCTTCTAACCACGAAGATCAAACAAGATTATAAGTCTTGTTTGATATCAAAAAATACAAAAAATGTGTTATTTACCAAAATAATGTTTTTAAAAAGTGCGCAAAACTGAAATCCTTCGAGATGTTTTAATGAAAAAAGAGACTAAATTCAGTTCTTAAATTCGCATAGGAAATACAGCTGATTGTTTAAACAAAAAGGTACGGATTCTTCAGTATTTACAAAATAGAAAACATGAAAACGCAGAAATTATTATAATGAACTCCGTACGAAGAAACTTAACAGTTTGATTTAATTTAACAACGAACAAATTAAAACGAAATTACAGATAGATTTAACTGATATCATAATTTCACGTGACTCTTAATTACATACCTGTTACGTAATTATTTCCATATCAAACATTTACATTAATTTTACCAGAAACATAAACTGACTTTTCACACCAAATAATCAACCTATCGTATAATATTAATAATTAAAGTTTAAAAAACACATATACAGTAAAAAAAAAATAGTATCAACACATTCCAGTATCCATACCACATCGTCAGACTGACGGCGGATTATGATAATTAAAACTAATGTGAAAATACGACCAACAATCTCTTGTCTTCCTTAATCTCATTGGAAAGAAATTTACGAGGGAATTGGTGAAGAACAAGACATATGAAAACTTAGATATCCGAAGCAGGCACGTGAAAAACAAAACCTCTCTATTAATCAAAGATCAATAGTCAACTGTATAATTATAAGCTACCCAAAGTCAGATGAAATTAAATTAATTAGCAGGAACCGCAGCCCAGTGTGTCCGCATTTAGATCTGTTAGCTGTAAATGGAAGAAAATTGAAAAGCAAAGATTTCATGATAAGCGAAATAAATTAAATAACGCTAAGACCAACCAGTGTAGTTGTGGCTAATACATCCCAAACCGCCTCAAATTACAGCCAAAGGTGCCCAAACCGCTATAAAACCCCTAGCACTATCATTGCGGCTTAGAAATGGTTGTAAGACTTACCTGTACTATGTACCAAAGTGTCCCCAAGACTCATAGAACCACTGCTGTTGGGCTCCATTTCATTTGCCTTCAAATTAACAACGCACAACTGTTTTTGCTTTAAACTTGATCCTAGTTTTTACAATACTACAGGCATTCTTTGATGACGGTACGGCGCGCTGTGATTGGTCGAGAGACCTCTCTTCATGCTGGCAGCACCGCACCCTTATGCCATGCTTGGCGCGAGTGCGATATTCCTAGTATAGGCGTGAATTGAAAGATGCATCGATATTATATATAAATAACATTAATAACAAGGTAATATATGACAAGACTTGAAGAGTGATACAGGCACAATTAATATTTACGTTTAAACAACCCACGTTTGTATGTCAGGCCAATTTAAAAGGTAGACGCATGTTAAATATATACATGCTTATGGAATTTTGTCAAGGTTTGTAAAAAAATGTTTAGACACGGTAAAATATTCCCATTTATCGATACAATACATGTAGACCTTTTGTTCCAGTAACACAAATAAAGGAGAATGTATACAACACGAAATGGTGAGAATTCTCTTTGTGCCCTCACCGCCCGCTTTGGTCATGTATAACATAGAAAAATCCGGACACGCCACGACTTCGGTTTGGTCATCCTTGTTACACCGGTAAATAAACACACAATGGAACAGTGAAAGCATATGAAGAGCTGCCATTGTTATTGAGAGAGTTAAGTTGATGGTGTCTTTCATATTTTGTTTATCGGTGTTTAAAAATACTTTGATATTACCATAAGGCTTCGAATGAATTGATTCGGTTCATATTTTAGACAGCGAACGATATAGACAAAGGATTGAAATATTACTCCACTTTGCTCAGGGATCAGGAATACATTTTTTGCAGTAATTGTGTGTATTTGTTTTCTACAAACTCACATCGGATTACCACAGACAGGAACATGGAATCTATTGTACACCTTAGAGTGAACGAGAAATTATCTGCTTGATGCTTCAACTGAATGAATCTCATTATCAGGGGACGTATACTGACACTATAGACAGTCTAAAGCTTCCAGTTTAATCTTTATTTGCGATTTCCAAATTTTCATCCTATGAAAAAGAGAAGATAATATACAAACCAAATGAATTCATGCCGCCACTAACCGTATTAATAAATATGTGTATTAGATAATAATTAATAGATGAAAATAAAATAAACAAAAAAACAAACAAAAAACACACACACAAAAACTAGATCAATCCTACAATATTTTCAATAGATTTCGCCTAAGTGATCGTTAAAGGGATATTCTGCGTAAGTTTAGGATTTAATTTTATGTTTTCACAAAAATTCACTAAAGGATCTACTTCTATTCTTATAGAAATTGCACGCTTCAGTTCACATCATAAACAAACATACGATATTTGATTTGTGGAATTTCTATATAGATCTAGCTAGATCGATTTACAGACATTAGTTTGACCATGACTGAGTTTCAATAGATTTGCTTTTTACTTGCCAAAGAATGTGAAATATCTGTTTATTTAAAAATCGATGAAAATAAACTGACGAAATGAAACTGCATTTTCTTTCTTTACGTCAATATTGGTTGATGTTTTTACGATGTTTAAGACGTATATCAGAAGACATGACGTAAGAAACACGTGTTATAAACACATATCTAGGATTGAGAACACCGTGTTTTTGTCACATTTACATGTGAAACAACACTACGTCATTAAACTATTGTAAAAACTTGTTCAGGTTTGGTAAAATTACTAAAATATATAAAACTAAATATGATCAGATAGTCTCATTTATTTAATATATACATTGTATATATTTAGTTGTCGTGACAGTGTGTTAATGTTTGTTTTATTGTGTGTTTTATGTTTTTATATCTACTGTGTGTTATATAATGTGTTTATAATTACCGTGTGTTATATAATGTGTTTATATTTACTGTGTGTTATATAGTGTGCTTATATTTACTGTGTGTTATATAGTGTGTTTATATCTACTGTGTGTTGTATAATGTGTTTATATCTACTTTGTTTTATATACTGTGTGAATATTTACTGTGTGTTGTATAGTGTTTTTATATTTACTGTGTGTTGTATAATGTGCTAATATTTACTGTGTATTGTATAGTGTTTTTATATTTACTGTGTGTAATATAATGTGTTTATATTTATTGTGTGTTATATAATGTGTTTATATTTACTGTGTGTTATATAATGTGTTTATATTTACTGTGTGTCATATAATGTGTCAATATTTACTGTGTGTTATATAATGTGCTTATATTTACTGTGTGTTATATAATGTGTTTATATTTATTGTGTGTTTTATGTGTTTATATCGACTGTATGTTATATAATGTGTTTATATATACTGTGTGTTATATAATGTGTTTATATATACTGTGTGTTATATAATGTGTTTATATTTACTGTGTGTTATATAATGTGTTTATATTTACTGTGTGTTATATAATGTGTTTATATTTACTGTGTGTTATATAATGTGTTTATATTTACTGTGTGTTGTATAATGTGTTTATATTTATTGTGTGTTGTATAATGTGTTTATATTTACTGTGTATGATATAAAGTGTTTATTTTTATTGTGTTTATATACTGTGTTTATATTTACTGTGTGTTGTATAATGTGTTACTATTTACTATGTGTTGTATAGTGTGTTTATATTTATTGTGTGTTGTATAATGTGTGAATTTTTACCGTGTGTTATATACTGTGTGTTGTATAATGTGTGGATTTTTACCGTGTGTTATATACTGTGTGTTGTATAATGTGTGGATTTTTACCGTGTGTTATATACTGTGTGTTGTATAATTGTTTGTGTTATCGTTTGCTATATATTTTGTATTGTATACTGTTTTTGTTTTACTGTTTTATACCATTTTTCTTATTATCATTTCGTCTCACGGTAAACTCTGAATCCTTATTCTCTTTTTATCTCGCTGTTATTTCTGTATTTTAAATTTTCCTTTGTCCCGTTTTTCTTTCTTTCCGTCAGTATTTAATCCAGAATTTTATTATTTTTGTCTCACTCTTAATTCTGTATTTTTATTCATCTTTCGTCTCATTCTCAACTATGTATTTTCAATTCCTTGTGAACAAAAGCCGAAGACGTAGGTATATTTGTTCCTGTCCTGTATACTATCTGTCCTGTATATTAATACTTTTTTCCTGTCCTGTATACTATCTGTCCTGTATACTGTCACTTTGTTCCTGTCCTGTATACTGGTACTTTGTTCCTGTCCTGTATACTGTTACTTTATTCCTATCCTGTATACTGTTACTTTGTTCCTGTCCTGTATACTGTTACTTTGTTCCTGTCCTGTATACTGTCACTTTGTTACTGTCCTGTATACCGTTACTTTGTTCCTGTCCTGTATACCGTTACTTTGTTCCTATCCGGTATACTGTCACTTTGTTCCTGTCCTGTATACTGTTACTTTGTTCCTGTCCTGTATACTGTCAAATTGTTCCTGTCCTGTATACTGTTAATTTCATCATCCTGATCTTGTCTGTGCAAAAACAATTTTGCAAGAATGATCAACGAACCATTGTGTACTGTATCTGTTCGCGTCTGCTTCAGAGACGGTACTGTGATCAAACTTATATACATATTCAGAGAGCAGGTTAGATGTTTTAACTCGTCATATTGAAACTGTCATGTTTATTTGGAGTTGGACTTGTTTACGAGAGTGGTTAATGACCTCGATATTACGACAATGACAAACCCTTTATAAATCAGTTCTATTTGTGATCACTATTTGTAACAAACATTTTGCTGTACTTTGTGATCTTGAAAGAATAAAAGCATTTTTCCAAAAGTTGCATGTGCTAAATTTTATAACCTTAATCCAGACCTGAATCCCTATTCTTTATTAAGCAATGTTTTTGTTTTACATCCAAAAATTAGTGTAATCGCTGAATATGGATAGTCGAATGTAAAACACTTGATACGATAGTATGAGTTTTGTCTTGACACGGTAGTTAACACTACCGAAACATCTATTTATCTAAAACCCTTAAAAGCTTGTAACATTTAGGAGAAGCTTTTAAAGGTTTAAAACCATTCCGATTTTTTTGTACTTAAACCACTTACAACGTGTCAGTGGTTTGGTGCTGAACTTTTCAGAGAGTGGTTAAAGACAGGTAATTTATTATCAAATGTTATGGTATTATCTACTTCAGTCACATGTCGACAGTTTTAAAATATGGTTATGTACCAAAAAAAATGAGAAAAGGGGAAAGACAGTAATACCTCCAAGTTTAGTAAAGGAGAGAAGAATGGATAGAATGGATCCAGAAGAACGAATGAGAAGGGGGGACGTGAGGGTTTAATGGAAAGATTGAAGAGGAGAGGATGGGGGGAGGGTTGATACAGAGGAAAAAATAGAGGACAGAGAAAGCAAGAGGATTCAGAGGAAAGATAAGAAGACACTGTTGGAGGAAACAGAGAGAGAGAAAAGTGAAAGAACGAGTAACATCAAAGAATGGACGGACATTAAGATAAAAGAAGTGTATAAAGAAAAAGGAATTAAATGAAGTAAGGAAGATATTTAAAAAGGGGTAGAAAATGGAGATTCGAGTAATAATAAAGACGAAAGAAGTTTCAGAAGGGAGTAAAATAAGAGGAGAGAGAGAGGAGAGGGAGGGAGACAGACAAAGTAAAATATGAAGAGAGAGAAAGAGAGAGTGGGAAAGGGATGGGTGGCTTGAAGCGAAATGGCGATGAGGAGAGGTTTGGAGAATATAGAATGCTATTTATTTAAATATACAGATGGGGTTCAGACAATGGAAGGGGAATACACGAAGAAAGAGAACATATTATTTATATTGATTTGCAGGGAGGAGGGAGATTGTGAGAAAGATATAAGACAGGAGAAGAATATGTGAGTGAGGAAACAGAGTAGTATTGTACAGGGGAGGAATGTGAGGGTGTGTGTGTGTGTGTGGGTGGGTGGGTGTGTGTGTGTGTGCGAGAGAGGAAAACGTGAAATAGTATTGTACTGAGGAGGAATGTGTTTCTGAGGTAAACATGGAC